CTCTCTCTCTCTCTCTCTCTCTCTCTCTCTCTCGCTCTCTCTCTCTCTCTCTCTCGCTCTCTCTCTTACTCTCTTGCTGCTGACAAGTTGAGGGCGTTACCTGAGAGCGCTACCTGAGAAGCGTTGGCATCTGTGAGTGAATGGCTAGCTTGCAGATTTACGATCACATCAAGAACCGTTAGGGGGCAAATGGAATTTACAATTTTGGATTATTTGTGTCTAATTGCGATTGGCTTGTTGTCAATTGCTTTGCATGTTGCACACAAATAAATTAATGGGGCGCCGGGAATGGAGTTCGTGCCGCGCCATGGTGCAGCAGCAGCCCGCATATGCAACCAACTGGCGGCCACATGAAAAGTAAACAATTGGGAAAACAAATTTTCGTATTACCCCCGAATAAAAGAAACGAAAATGAAAACGAAAACGAAACGAAGCACAAATAAAATAACATAAAATAAATAAATGTGGCAACAGGAGCGGGTTAAGCGGCGATTCAATTGGCCAATTGCCACAGCAGCAGCAAGGGGCACGCGGGTGCCCGTAGAACCCATTAGATAGGGTGTCCCATATGTTTAGCGATTAATTCATTGCTTAATTGCTGCTTTTATCAAATACAAATGCCCATCTCAGCTGTGGGCTAGCCCAGGGGGAGGGGCGCGGGGCTACCGGCCGAGCGGGTTACAGCTTGACGCAAGTTTTAGTTGCGCCTTGAAAGAAATTTTCATTTCATAGTCGCTCATTGAAAATAATTAAAATTAATTAAGCCATTTTATATATCGCTCGCGCTGGCAGCTACTGCATTGGCTAACTGCCCCCGCCCTGCCGCCCCCCCGGCCGACGTATCTATAAATTTAAATCGGCTTTAATTGAGGCGACTTTTGGGTGACGAAGCACTGCGAAGACTTTGTGGAAATTGTCAGGAATTTTATTATGATTATTGCGCTGCTTCTACTTCATGCTCCACTGTCGTCGTCGTCGTCTTCTTCTTCTTCTTCTTCTTCCACCCCAATCTTGTTGTTTTGTAGTCTTTGCGCAATGTTTTAATTAATATTTAATTATGGGGGGCTTAAACTGACTGATTTGTTCAAGTTTTTCGAAAATATTTTAATGGAGCGCCCTAATCAAGCAATAAGCGAAAAAAACCAAAAGTAGAAATGAAATATAACACGTGCAATGATTGATTGGTTAAGTGTGTTTTCCAATACCCTGTAATTGGGAAAGTAGCATGGGTAATGATTTGACTAAATAAGCCCAGTTAAGTATGGGAAGATATGCAGAGTTTATAGAACATCTAGATTTGATTTGAGTAGAACAAAGAGTGGCGCCGGCTAAGCTGCTCTATATATACTAAGTCTAGTTCGGCCTCTACTGGAACTATTTAGTTATTAGTCTTTAGAATATATATGATGTAAAAAGAGCTTATTTTTAAGTTTCTTAAGTTTTCCCCATTTATCTTGGCTAGGATATTTCATAGTCAGGCATTGCCTTTACAGAATTTTGTTGCATTGAGCCATGGCTTAGTTGAGTACAAACAATACAGGCAAACAAAAAAAACTCAACTTGGCATTTGGTTCTTTGTTGTCTGAATCAAAGAAAAAGCGAAACACACACATGCATACCCACTCACACACACACACAGCCATGCACAGATTTAATGCATATAAAGGATGCCAATAGATAGCAATAGAGACGAGTGACTCACTCAGCAGAGCCTGTCGCACTTGAATGACTGCCGGACTGCCTGATTGATGGACTGATGGACACACTGACTGAGTGACTGACACGCATTGTCTCTGGCCAGGCTCACATTTCTTTACATTTTACATTTAACATTTAATTCGTTTTTCTCGCTCTCAAAAAGTTGTCGGAAAAACTACAATTTGAGTGATGGAACGAATTTGCATTCGACATTTTATGATAGAAGCGAGAAACCGAGAGAGAGCGCGCGAGAGAGTGAGTGGGAGAGAGAGAGAGTGTGTGTGTGTGTGCCACGAATATTTATCTAGCCTCTTAGTCTCAGCCAAGCAACTAATTCAGTTAATTACCGTACTAAAAAATAAGAAAAAACCATCAAATTACCTTCGAAATGAGAAATGTTTGAGGAGCGCGTTCTTATATCATCATCAAACGAAATTATTTCGAATTATGTCATTAAATAAACATTCTAAATTAAAATGTTTTCAGCTGGTGACAAATAGTTCTGTGTGCTTATTTAAACTTAATAATCGTTAAATCAAATATTTTTAAATTTGCTAGATTAACAATTTCAGTTTTTAGCTGCTGAATAAATAAGAAATTGTTTATTCAAGAATTTTTATAATATTTTTTTTGTTATAATTATTAAGTTTTTAATAGAAAAAAATGTTTGTTTTATATATATTTTCTTTTATGATTATTCAGATAAACTAAACATATTTTTTGGAATTTTTTTGTGAAGTAAAAAAATAATAAAATTGAAGATTTTCTTGAGATATTAATTTATTTATTTTATTTTATTTGTTTTTTTTTTTTTTTTGCATAATGCATAAATCAATATGTCTATATATCGATTGATAGCTGACAAGGCAATATGCAGATAGATGTTTCTATTAGGGCAGAGCAATCCAATATCTGAAGACAAAGATGCCGAGATAAACATAGATTTACGATTCAATAGTTGAACTGAGCGGGCAATAATGATCTGTCGCTGCATACATTTGTCCGATATGAGATATACATATATACCTATACATATATGTATATATATATGTCAATTATAAAAATTTATTTTTAATATGCAATATCTATATGATATCCCTCTCTCTCTCTCTAGCTCTCTTGCTCTGTGTGATTTCTGACTACTTAATTTCCAAGTGCCATAAAAATGTGAATGCCTTTCGGAATGGAGAATTGAAAGCCCAGCGTATTTGGGCGTTGAAAAATAAGTTGGCTTATTTATTGTTCGCTGCTTATAAATATTTAAAAAGCCTGCAAATGAAATAAACAATTAGTTTATTTATTGACACACTCGCGCACACTCAGACTCCGATTCATTCTTCTTTTCTTTTCATTTCATTTCATTTCATTTTATAAATTAAAATATGATATACATTGACTTATAGCTATGCTATGTGGCCTAAAGTGCTCATGCTGAAAGCAATTTGCCTTTGGAGCCCTTTGCCCAGGAATATGAATCACAGTCCCAAGCTATATAGAGTTGTATAGCTAAATCAATACATCGATGTTTATGTTTATGGAATATTCAGCACAAATTTGTGGCATAACGTGAACTATTTGAAAATTCTAACAAGGTTTTGCGACACACGAGCTCCGTATTCGTGCAGTGTTTAAGCAAGCTATTGAGCATATATACAATTATCAAGATATATCCGTATAAATCTACAAAATATCATGACGTATATATGTCATGGTCTGAGTATTTTGAGCAACCTCTGAAGTCAGTTTCTTCACTTTTTATTGTTGTAATTCGCAAAGAGTTCAGACATTGGGTGTTATATGACATGAAACTATATATGACTCATAAATGGGTTAAATTATAAAGGAACATTACATGAGTTTATTGTTAAAAACGTTTTACATGTAATTCTAATAGGAAAACTATATATATGAAATAGATATATCTAATAGACCTAACTATATGCATAAGATATACTGCCAAAGGCTAGAGGACACAATAGCTATGGGTCATAGATATAGCAAATCTATACAAGATATATATAACATTTCTAGGCCAAACATTGCCCAGATGGATAATGTTTCAATTTCAAAGATTCCCATTCCCAATTTCGATTACCCAAACAATCTATCGCGTAAATGGCTCGTCTATTATGATCAAACTGTACTTTTAATTTCGTAGCGCTGCAGCAAACATATGTTAGATATGGCAATTAATAAATAAAATGCGTCTATTTCAAATCAAATTCGAATTCAAATAGAAATTCAAATTCCCATACGCGTCTCAGTGCCCCACCAGCACCGCCGGCATTTTGAGTGGTCGTTGATTTAAAACATACATTGCGGCCTTTAATTGTGGCGCATTTTTGTCGAATCCGTAGAAAGAGGCAGCAGCACCAGCCACATTTCGTTTCCTTTTAATGAAAACAAATTTGATCGAATGGCTAAGAGACAGCGCAAGAGCCATGGGGGCGAGGGGGGGGATTGGATTTAGAATACCTAAGAAACAAATCGAAGAACGAACAACTTGAAAGAGAAGCGCGCGAGCGCCCTGCACAAATGGGCATTATGGATTGGTTCTATAGAGATGTGTGTAGAGCCTCTATATGTACTTGTATACTCATCTGGTACTCGCTGAGGCTGAGGCTGTGGCTGAGGGGGGGCCTCACAGACGGAATTATGATTTGTGTAAATGTTGCCTGTGATTAAGCACTTTTAAGTGTAATTCGGTGATGTATGTAGCCTGTAGCATGTTGTTGTTGTTGTTGTTGTAGTTGTGATAGAGCACATATACTATAAATAGCAACGGCCAGAAGATGTTTGCCTAAACCATAACTAAAATCTTTATAGCTAAAGAGATATGTGAGTGTGTATTTGTGCATGAGCAGGGCTAGGTAGGATTGGGGCACTACTGGGGGTTTGGGGGTACTATATGCCTGTATGTGAGATCTTCACGATTGCGATTGCGACTGCGGCGGCTGTTTAAAGTCAATTTTTGAATAATTATGAATCGCTTTTCAGTCGTGCTGCTGTTGCTGCTGCTGCTGCTTCTTCCTCTTCTTCGTCTTTAGCTTCTTGTTCACATTTTGTTGTTGTTCTTCGCTAATTATAACAACATCATAATCATAATAATTTCTTATGAGTTGTATTTTGGCTAGCTCTTCGTCTGTTCTTAATGTGCCAAATATATTTCTATCTATTGAGCCAAAATTGCGAATATTTGTCCAACACACACACACACACACACACACATGCACAATATGCAAATGGTGCAGAGAGACTTTTGAAAAAGTAGAGAAAAAAAAACTATCCGAAATGAATTATTGAAATCGATTCGAAATGCGTTTGTAAACTAACCAAAATCAAATTAAGCGAATTTCCAAATGCAACTGCAAGTAATATGCACGCACACACACATACATACACATATATGTATAGCTTGTATATGTATCAGCACATACAGTTCTAAAAGTGTTTGGCTAAAAAATCATATATATTTATAGCCGATATATTGAATATTGAGGAGGTTAAACTAAAGTCTAAAATGAGAAATGCAAGAAGAGTGTGTGAAAATCAGAGAAAACTGCGAGAAAACGCAAAAGCATCTCTCTATATTACATTATAATAACTATAAGAAACATACGACAAGAATATATGCTTTCAAATACATTGAATCGTAAATACAGATTGGGAATAGTTAGGATCTTTGAAAAAACTTAGTTACAGCAATACTTGCTAGAGAACTACAATTAAATCTGTCTATAGAGAACATTAGTTATAGCTAAACATGCTAAAGAGTATAGCATGAATACTATAATAAAGCAAATATTATATTACGATATTACAAGAGCCATAGATTGACTTCAGGAAGTAGAGCTATAATTAATGTTCTCTAACATTCTAAATATAAATTACAATGAGTAATGCGTCCAGAAAAAAGCAAATACAAAACAAAGTACCTCAGATCAATACGAATGGAAATTACCTGGCAGTTTTGCTCAGTGTATTGATGCATAGTTTATACAGAAGGCGGAAGTTCTTTAGACGTCACTTGCACTTTATTAAAATGATCTCGAGCAGAAAATAAAGAGATGTGAAAATATGTGTATGCCTAAATCACGGCTCCTTATATAGTTTTGTGCTTAATCAAAATCGCCGGAAATCAAAATATAAAAATTAATATGCAGAGATTAAAGCGATTTATATGTGCGCCACGGCGTATGGGAGGGCGGGAATGCGTGCGACAGAGCCATAAAATTGTTTATAATATAGCACACATACACACACATTGTTACACGAAGACAGCTATACTAATGGCTGTATAATACATGGGTATATATCATATACTTTGGCTTGTTCAGTTAACACTTTGCTTTAATGACTAAGACTAAGGAGCGCCCCTCGTCTGCTCGAAGTAAAATATTTTTTTGTCAATAAAATAGAAATTAGCGACGCTGAATCACAAATTCTAGTCAGTCTCTGGCCGTACTATGTATGTATGTACATATGTATGTATATGTACTCTATAAATATAGATATTATTGTTGATTCTTATGCCCATATTTGAATGAATAGTTCGAGTTATTTACCATTTTGTATCGGCTTGGCTTGGCTTGGCTTATCCACGTTTATAATCCCAGCAAGAATTCAAAGGTTGAAATGTTTATTAGATTTATTTTAGATATGTATTTTATATTTCTTCACTTTTAGCACATATTCAAATGTTTGCACGTTGCAGCTGCTGCAATTTTTATTTGATTTCTTGTTGCTGTTGTTGCAGTTATTGTTGTTGTTTTTGTTATTGTTGTTATTATAGTTGTTTTATCACTTTGTTCAAATTGTCTGTCCGTTGCGCGCGTGCCGAATAATAAACAAATTAAGTTTAGCGCTAATTACAATTGCCGATATATGTGCATATATATTGTCAGCGTTATGTTTAATACACATCTACACATAAGTATACATATATATATATTTATATTTGTGTGTATTGATACTGTTGTATTGACTTGGATATATATCAATTATTATAGAGTATGCAACAATGTAGCCGAAGCCGGGTATGCCGCTGCGCGCGCTCGTGTTCGCACTGCTGCACGTTTAGTCAATGACTAAAGGGCGGGCAATTCAAAATTTTTTAAAATTCATCAATGCTGCTCGCAGCGACAGCGACGCCAGCGGCAGCGCCGACAGCAGCGTCGCGTCAACTCTAGCGTCGACAGCAGCAAACACACAACAAAAACCAAAAACTAATAAAATCAATTACAAACGCACACAAACACATTCATACACAAGAGCTGCCGAAGACGCCGACCGACAACAACGACGAACCGAAGGCAAAGAGCACGAACAAAAGCCGACAATGCGACGTGCTACACACGAAGTTCTCGTTCTCTGGAATCACAACAACAACCAGTACCAGCTCAGTAGCAGCGACGGCGACAGCGACAGCAAAGGAAACGGAGCATGGAACTAGAGCTGAGAGCGTGTCGCGCGCTCATGCTTCGTTTTAGTGTGTCGGTGTAGTTGCTACTGCAGCATAATTTGTTAAGCATTAACAAGATATATCGAATGCTATCGCTTATAAGTTTTGCGCTCATCTCTAAAGGGAATCTACGCTGTGCGCAAAGAGAACGTTTATAAATGTGTACTGCTCTTTGCTGCCTGTGCTCTCTCTTGGCCATTTGAATGTGGGCCAAAAGTAATGACAATAGCGGCGATTGTTTAGCTTGAATTTTAACGTACTTTGCAATGCCGCCGCTTGGACCATTGCCAACTTATGTCTAGCTAAGGCGCGTTCTCTCTTTCTTGCTCGGTCCCGCTCTCTTTTGGCATGCACACATACACTTGTATGGGTTATTGCGCTCTTGCAGACGCTGAGTTACGATGCCTGTGTGTGCGTACATGTGCTTGTGCTTATGAGTGGGTGTGCACATTGGTGTTGCTTGCCAAATGAGCCAAGCAAAACAAAAAGGCAAAAATACAGTATGTTTGTATGTGTGCATGTACATACACATGTACACTTTTACGCTTGTAGTGGGAATAAGAACAAGCGTTGCACCTCGCCCTGCGGCGCGCTATACACTCTTCTCACTCTATCTCTCTCTCTCGCTCCGGCACCCACAATCACAACCAAGCGAAATATGCAAACAATTTTTACATTTATGGCAAGGCAATGACGTTTGCTCTGCAGCTAAGAATTTTTGCACCGATCTCGTTTTACATTATTTACTTGTGGGAATAGATTTTTAAAATCACAGCTGCACAAATACATATGCAGACGTATATACATACATACATATATGTATATGTACGTATATTTAACAAATAGCATAAGTTTGAGCGTGCTAGAGTGCGGGCTTTGGCACCCCTAAGTAAGTAGCATTGAGTGCACTTTGTTTCATTATTCTCTATCCTAAAATATAATCGTTGCTATAAAGTGTCCTTTTTAATTCACACACACACAAACACACACACACACACACATTTCAATTGCTCTGCGTTGAGTAAGTAACCCTCATGATGTGAGCCAAGTTGCAGCCGTTATAGCTACAGCTATCCATAATTACACAAAAGTCTAACATATATCGCATATAAGCCGCAGCGCAGCGCATAAATCGCAATTAATCAAGTGCAAGCCAATGCGTTAACTCCCTGAGCACCCCTCTCCGCCATCAACGGTCCGTGCTATGTGAACAGCAACAGCAGCCGAAGCAACCCTCAACCCAATCCAACACAGTCCAACCAAATCCCATACCATTAAATCCCGCAATAAGAACAAGAAAAAGTTCAACTGCTGCTTTGAGCTGAACAACAATTACAAGGCATTCTCTCTCGCTCATTTATGCTGCATTGGCCATCGCACTCGCACTCGCACTCGCTCTGGCTCTCTCCCACTCTCACTCGCAAAATGAAAGCTACTAAAACTGTAATCATTATGCTTTATCGTAATAATCAGCAGCCGCAGCCTAGGCAAGTTTTGCCCAACAGCCAGCAGACGGCGCACACTTGTGCACAGCATACTCAGAAGCACTCACACACACACACACATACACAATCGTACATACATTGCGAGAAATATAAGTACTACATTCTAACATAACAAACAGGCAAACAAACAAAACTAAATTACAACAATTCCAAAAATTTATAATTGTGCTGCGCACACAGTTAGAAATCTCAAACTACCACCAGCAGTCGCAGCCACCCTTTCCACCAGTGCCAGCCAGCCACCTCCCCCCTCCACTTCTACTTCGACTTCCCCTTCCACTGCCTCCCTCCATTCCCCACAGTCTTGTTCATGCTCATTCTGAAGCTCTTATTCGGCCCTCAATCATCATCCTCATCATCATCCTTTTGGCTTGCCTTCTTGCCTTACGAATTCGCCATGCTCTCGCTCTCTCTCTCTCTCACACTCTCTCTCCTCCTCTGTTACTGCCATTGGACTGCGACGACGACGACGACGTCGTCACAACTAACACAAAAAAAAGGCAGTTAAGTTAAAATGTACTTAGAGTTTAAGCGTAACCCCGAAATCCCGACCGAACCCAAACGAGATTGTGTGTTTTAAGCGTTTTAGTTGCCCGCTTGCACACCCTACGGCAAGCGTCAGCGTCAGCGACTGCGACAGCAACAGCAACTGCGACTGCGACTGCGAAAGTCAGCGTCGACTTTGACGTCGCTGCGCACTGCCGCTGCTCAACTCTGGCAGCAACAACAACAACAACAACGAGCCAGCCAGCCAGTCAGTCAGTCAGTCAGTCAGCCATCTTGTGTGGCGTTATTAAATTTTATACAAATACTAAAAATGAAATCAAAATTTTCTTATTACAATGACTATTTTCTCTCGAACAGCTGTGCGCCCGAGCAGGGACCGACAATGAGTCCCGGGTCCGTTTCTGAGTTTGTCTTGCTGGTTGCGTTGCGTTGAGTTGGGTTCGGTTGGCCTGGGCTGGGTTGAGTTGGTTTGCCTTGGTTTGCTTTGCGTCGCTGTGGATGGGAAGAAGCTCTTGAGTCGTATGGCCCGGGCCACCCACTCATCCATCCGCCTGCCCGCCCGCCTGACTGACTGACTGAATGACTGTAAGTATGTTTGTCGAGTCGAATGAATTGTACTTATGCCATACTTATCGACTGCATTGTAAGGGATCCAAAGTTTTTTGGGTGTTGGCCCTAAAAATTGCCAGTTGCCCATTGTGGGCTATGTGTGTGTGTGTGTGTGGGGTGGAATGGGCCGGAGCTTGGCTAAAAGTCCTGCAAATATTTTGTGCATTTGCCAAAAGCTATTCATAATTTCAATGCAGCCGTAGCAAAATTGCCATAAATTCAATTATAAATTTTTTAATTGTTATACGTTCCTTGGTAGACTGAACACGTTTTACGAGTTCCTGCCACTTCCTGCTGCTGTTGGCTGTTGGCTGCTGTTGCTGCCAAACAACTAAATAAATGAATTTCCATTAAAATAGATTCTACCTGTTTTAGATAAGCAGCTCGCGCACACAATCTACTCGGATCCGCTGACTACCTGAGAGACATACTTAAAATTTAAATTAAACATCGCACGAAAAGGTCGTAGAAAAAAAACACACACACACACACACTTACACTCACACAGAGAACATACGAAATGCCTAAACAAATTCTGATAAGCGTTGTGCAGATAGGCGCACAGGACAAGTGATGAATAATACCAATCACGTACCCAGGCTAGCCCAGGCCAGACCGGGCCAGACCGGGCCACCTCCATCGACTGTCCGCAGCCTAATCAAAAGAGCATTGTAAACTAAGCCAAGACAAGACAAGACAACAGAAACGAATTCTAAAGGATCACCAGACCAGACCGAACCAGAGGAATTCGTCAAAATAGCTGCAACAAGACGAAGCATACGAAACTAATCAATCCACGTACATAGACTTACGGAATACCCTTTAGATTAGCGATGAAAGGTATTCAAACTGGAGATCGGTTTGCATATCATGCATTCCAAAATTTCAATAGTTTTACAAGTATATATCTATTCTATATGTATTTGGTGTAATTTCAAGCGAAATTGATTTTTAAGATCTGCACTACGTGACATTACGTTGTTTTCTAAAAATCTTCACAAATTAGTTTCATGTTTATTAATGCCATTTATATTTCTATACTTTCGACATTTGTTTTACTCAACAGTTAGGATTGTTAGATCATATAATTTACTGTTTTCTTAGTATTATCATCTACGTGACACAGGTAACGTGATGTATTTGGCATTACAAATGTACTTGAGATTAGTTTTTCATTTATTTATGTATTTGCTATAAATTACAAATAGGAAATTGCATGAAGCACGACTTTGATCAAATTTACTTATATTTGTTTATGATTCTACTAATATTTGATTATATTCTATTAAATCATTTATTTGGTTCAAGAAGGTAAATACATATTTCCCTTCCAGCTTTTTATTTGTGTATGCATAGATTTAGATTTATTTTTAAATTCTTTGCATTTCAATAGAGAACATCTGCTATTTACAGGGTATACAACGGCTTACTACTTTGTTCGGTCATATGGAAAATGCGTAATCTCACACCAACGCTGCAGACAAGAACAACAAATTAAGTGCCAATGCAATGCACACACACACACACACACACACACCCGCGCACACACAAACACACCTAGGTATACAAATATCAATCTATAAGGTCTATCTATGAACATGTTTCATGCGCATGCGCAAAGGCTGAC